AAATACATTCAATTTTATGTACATGTACACAAATATACTTTTCAGTTATAAATACATTAAATTTAATGTAATGTCATGAAATTAAGTTCAAATTATAAATTCAAATCAAATATAAGTTCAAATTGTAAATTAAAAGTATATTAAATTTCATGAAATTTTTAACAGTGTATAATTTGATAAAAAGATAAGAAATATGTAAAAAGATAACTTTGTTTTAGGAAATAAGGTTTTTCACGAAAAGGCAAATAGGAAGCTTGAAACAACAAAATTGATTAATAATAACTACAACGTTCCAGAAAATTTTAGAGAAAATATTGAAAAGCCGTATAGGTATCAACGAAATGCGAATTACGATGGAAATAAAGGAACAGAAATAGTAAAATCGATGCTTTATTGGCTTAAAGGACTTTTCGTAGATAATTAAGTAGTAAAGAATGACCTCCAAAAAATATATACATATATAATGTGTATATAATACATCAATAATGTAAAACTTATTACAATACTCTTTATATTATATATAATATTTAATAATTCTTATAAATATTGTATAACATTCAATTGTACCTTTTGGTTGCTATATTTCATAATTTATAATAATTAAAATAATTTTTGATAACATTAAATATTATTAATCAAAATGTAGTAATTCTTTCTTAATTATTGAAGTTTAAAATAAAAATTTTTTATTTATAATAATTCAATTTTTACTTCCCCTTTCCAGTCACAAATGGAATTATGATAACTCATAGATCTCTGTTCACAATATTCTTTACGTTTTTTTTTAATAATCAGTTTTAGCCCATTCATTTTAAGGCAACGAATTTACGAAATATAATATTTTTTTTACAATAATTTATTGTCGTTATTCGACGTGCACTGAAATATATTTGATCTACGAGGACAAATCAATAAGTACCCGAGTTAGTAATAAAGACGCAAGATTTTCACAAAACTTTTTTTTATTTTTCAGCGTAATCCCCTTTTAGGAGGATACACTTTTCCCAACGTTTCTGCCATTTTTTTAACCCCTCCGAAAAATACGATTTGTCGAACTCTGCAAAATAGGCCTCTGTTTCGGCAATGACCTCCTCATTCGACGTGAATCTTTTTCCACCAAGCCATTTTTTCAAGTTTGGAAACAAGAAGTAGTCGCAGGGGGCCAAATCCGAAGAGTACGGTGGATACGGCAGCAACTTGTACCGCAATTCGACTAATTTGGCTGTAGCGACTGCGGAGGAGTGAGCCGGTGCATTGTCCTGATGGAACAACACTTTTTTTTCGCCAAATGGGGGCGTTTTTTCTTCAATTCAACATCGAATCGGCCCAATAAGTCAGCATAGTACTGCCCCGTGATAGTTTTGCTTTTCCCCATGTAGTCGATGAAGATTACGCCTTGCGCATTCCAAAAAACAGTGGCCATCACTTTTCCGGCCGATGGAACCGTCTTGGTCTTCTTCGGAGCACGTTCGCCGGATGAAATCCACTGTTTTGACTGTAGGCCGGTATTCATAGTCGATTCTTATATTCAAGACCATCTTAAGTATAGTCTTAAGATGTCACAAACCAATCAGAGGGCCGCATTAGCGTCTTAAGACATTACTTAAGACGGTCTTGAAATAAGAAACGACTATGAATACTGGCCGTAGATTCGTTACCTCAATAAAAAAATTTCTGACTCTCACCAAACCGATGCGCAACGAGCGAAATTATTCAGCCAGATATTTACGGTGATGCTGTAACACACAAATATAAGATCCTAATTAAAGATATGTTCAAAATGATCAACATTTCAAAAGATAATTTTTACGCGCTTAATTCAAACTTTTTATTCAGTTTTCAATTACATATTTTATTACAGAAACTTGTCGATTTACGTGGAGTATACGTTCCACGTGATTTTTTTTACGGGATTGAAAACTGCATAAATGAAGCCTGCCAGTAAAAAAGTAAAAACGTAATCGAAATGCCTGTGTATGTCGTAAAAATATTTATTTTACATATTTGTACAAAAACACAAATAATGAAATTTTAGAAAAAAAATACAAGTTTTTAGAGAAAAAGAGACCTGAAAATTCATTATTCACTTCAAATCGTTACACTTCAGTGATAAAAATTGTAACGTAATGATTAAGAAATCATTTTAAGTAGAAAATGTTAAATTGTACGGTACACTTAAAAAAACTTACGGAAAAAAATTTGTTTTACCCGTGCACACCAAAATTTATTCTTCAATTTTATGAGGTTCAATTTAAATTAGCGCCGTTTGGAATGAAATTTTTGCAGAGAAATATAATTCGAAGCATTCGAAAGTTATGTCTTAAGCTTCGAAACGCGTTATCAAACATTGTTCCGCGATCATTTTTCACTGACATCCATGAATTTTAATTTTGGTTCTTTTTAGTACTGATTTTAAATGATCTTTTAATTGTTTGTTCAGATGTAAACATATTTCAAGATAGAGGAACTTCGTCAAAAATGGTCATAATGAGATTTAAAAAAAAAACACTTTAAAGCTTGAAATCTCTACTTTCGAAATCGGAAAATTAATAAAAGATATTATATTAAATATATATATATATATATTATGTATTAATACCCGTATTCATAGTCAGGTCTTATATTTAAGGCTTCCTTAAATTTATCTTCAGACGCTTTACGAATTATTTCATTGGTTACTGAGCATTTAAAGATAAATTTAAGTACAAGGTCTGACTATGAATACGGGCATAAATGATCACGTAATTTAATTTGTCTCAAATAATATAAAATGATGCCATACGCATACGTTATCAGCAATTATAAGAATGTCCACCCGGGGGGGATGTTTCATATAAACTACATATAAAATTGACATTTTTTACATCTACAATTATACATATAATTATATATAAAATATGTCCATACACTGAAAAAAATGCATGCAATTTTACACGGAAATTACATGTTCATGACTGTCTAAATATGATTGGAAATTTACAATTTCCAGTAAATTTCCAAGGATATTTATGTAATTTAGATAATTTTCCAGTCATATACATGTAAAATTACATGCATTCTTTTCAGTGTATATATATATATAACATTTTTTCCCGGGCAATTAACGAGAATGAATTGAAATATAGATTGAAATGGATTCAGATTTTTAGAAATACGCATTAGCTAATGTGAAAATGTATCTTTTTCAATCTCTAAATGTGTTTTTATTCATTTATTCAAACTGCATGAAACACATTTCTACACCTTTCAATCAAAAAATAATATTAGCTTTTTCTGTGCGTCGTGATTATTGCTCAATTCAAAATTGTGAACAGAAAATGCAGTTTTTCAATCCAAATGAATTCGATTGAATCCAATTGAATAAAAAAATTTTTGACGTAAAATATGCATAAAAATTTAAATCTATTTTAATCCATTCTCGATTAATGGATGGATGAGGTTTTACAAAAATTAAAATGAAATTGGCATGATATAATAATAAATACGATTAATAATTATTAACAGATTCTTTAGCATAAATAAATACTTCAAATATACTAAAAACCTATTAAATATTTTCTATTATTTTTTACTTCTACTAGGGATACTATAATAACTTAGGCCGGAATTCACAGTCTTAAGGTGCGGTCGAGTTGCCATTACGAATGCTTCGAAGCATTTTTTCATTGATCAATGAGTGATATTCTTTCTTCTGATTGGTTAATCAAATGCTTCAAAACATTCGTAGCGGCAACTCGACCGCACTCTTAATCTCAAGTAATGTCTTAAGATGCTAATACGGCTCTCTGATTGGTTCATGCACTAGCTTAAGACCATCTCGAATCTTGAGCACCGTCTATGGATTCCGCCCTTAGTCTGGAAACGCAGCTTGCAACTCCATTTACTCGAAATGGCAACTTGCGCTTGAAATTGTAGAAGTTTACATTTTGCTGGGGTATGTTACACTCACATGGCTCTCTCTCTCTCTCTCTCTCTCTGCCTCTCTCGCGCGCGCGCCGGAATAAAAAATTAGCCTCCGGGATACAACGCATAGCGGTGAAGTCGTAGCTAAGCTGTCCGAAGCAGGTTTCCTTTTTTCAGAGTATCCTGTCGCACTTACAAAAACAATTAATAGTAATTATAATTGCGTATGCAATAAAAATATGATGATTATGTATTAAAACCTCGAAAATCACGAAAAATTACGACAAACAGTTTAAAAATTTCTTAAATTTGGCGCATGGTGGCGCCTGAGGCATTAAGGCCGATATTCATGTGTCGTGCGACAAAGTTTTTCAAGCCTGTTGATTGGTTGTAGGACACGTAATTCCTGAACGCAGCCCAGTGCTCTTTGACAACGTTTAATAGCAAATTCAATAAATAGGCACAGATGCACAATGCATCCAGTGCACTGACAATACTATACTAGCGCTCTTTAGTTTCTTGCCGAATCTCGCTCATTCTCTCTCTCTCTCTCTCTCTCCCCCCCTTCCTTTTCATCCAATGCCCTTGGAACCGACAAGCTTTCAAGCTTGTTGATTGGCTGCAAGATAGAAGATCTGAGAATCTTTCTGAGAGAGAGAGAGAGAGAGAGAGAAAGAGAGAGAGTCTCGGATCTTTCTATCTTGCAGCCAATCAACAAGCTTGAAAGCTTGCGGTTCCAAGGATATTGGATGAAAAGAAAGGGGGAGAGGGAGAGAGAGAGATTGAGCAAGATTCGGCAAGAAACTAGAGAGCGCTAGTATAGTATTGCCAGTGCATTGGATGCATTGTGCATCTGTGTCTACTTACTTATTGAATTTGCTATTAAACGTTGTCAAAGAGCATTGACGAGCACGAATTGCAGTTTCGAGTGCGACTTGGATCTTAATTAGAACTTAAATAATTAATATTGTTTAACATTTTTTGGCATGTTAAACATTAAAATGACGCCGAGAAAGAGATCTATAATATTGGAAAATTGAGGAAAGATTTTTCAGCCATTCGTTAATATTAAAAGTTTAGCTGAACTAACCTATAAGATGGACAAAACTAATCAGTCTTGGAAAGAAATGGGTATCACAGATCCTAAGGAACGGATCAAAACTCTTACAGAGCATGCTTCGAAAGTAGTAATTGATCCAAATATTGCGCCTAAAAGGTAAAAAATGTATTTATCATATGCAATTTAAGTAAATGTTAAGAAGACCCCGGTCCACTCAGATTTTAATAAAAATACATTCATTCGACGCGTTTTTGCACGAAATAAACAAATCTGTCAGAAAAAAGTGTTGCTCTGCCCCGCGAACTGAGGTATTAAGCGTTAAATTTGACGATTTGAGGTTAGGAAATTTGTCAGATCCACACTGCGAAATTATAACCCATGTAGACAATGGGGTGTGTGGACAGTAGCACTCAGGTTCGGGGCGGCGGTTACGCTGCCGCCCCGCGCGCGAACCCAAGCGTTACTGTCCACACATCCCACTGTCCACATGGGTTAGAACTCAGATAATTTGTTTTGGAACAGTGAATTTGTATCTTAGAACAGATTTCCTAACTTGCATAGTCGTCAAGTTTAACTTAAAATCTCTGTTCATGGGGCAGAGCGACACTTTTTTCTTGTAGATTCTTCATTTTCGTAAGTAAACGCATCGATTGAGTATATCGTTATCAAAATTTGAATGGACCGAGGTCTTAACATTTATCGCAATTTATTTGTATTGAAATATTACTAGAAAAAAATAGTACTTTAAAACTTATTTAAATTTGTTAAAATTATATAAGAAAAAGATTGTTATGAACAAAGAATTAGAATTCAAATATCTGATTGTAAAATAGTTTTAAAATTAAAAAATATCTTTTCATATGTTCATTATGAAAATATATGTGATTGTTTTACTGTATAAATTTATGCATAAATACAAATATTAATAGAAATATTGTAATGATAATTGCTAAAATCAGTTTCAAAAGCTATTTAATTTTTTAATGTGGTATCTTTTTAATTTTAGATATTATCGTACAGGAGTGGAAATGGTCAGATTAGCAGACATGAACATGCAGGATGGCAGTTATGAAAATGCCTTTACACTATATATGAAATTTATAACGTAGGTAATAATTAATAATAACTTGTTATATGTTGTATATAATAAATATATTTTTAGAGGTTAATAAATGTATAAATTTAATATCTTTTTAAGGAATACTTATTACTAACTATTAAAATAATATATTTTTATAATTTTATTGCTAATATTTCTCATTGCAACAGACTTTTTGTGGATAAAATAAGGAGCCATCCGCAATATAATAGTGTATCAGCTAAGGATAAAGCAATGAATAAAGATGCTCTACGAATAGTCATTCCTAAAGCTGAAAAACTGAAGAAACAGTTATTAGAGCAATATCAAGCAGAGTTCGATAAGTATTTAGAGGATTTGAAAGAAAGAGAAAGGATTGAAAGAGAGCGTTTGAGGCAAGAAGAACTTCAAAGGTATATTTAATTATCTTATATGTTTGTTACAGTAAAAGTATGAAATTAATAATGTTTATTTTAAATTGATTTTACAATATTATACATTTTTGTTTAGGCAAAAGGAAGAGGAAAACAAGAGGAACAAAATGGCTGCTCTGGCTGCTATCAAAGCGGCTAAAACTGCGATTACTGTAAATGTACCAATGGAGACAAAACATTTGCCTTCCATTGCACCAAAAACTGTGATAAATCTTGCAAACGATGATAAAGCATTAAAGATCTCCAAAGAAATGTAAATCTTATTATTTATATATAAAATAAAGCTTCGTCTTAAATAGTTATATATCACAAGGTTTAATGTTAAATAATTATTACTTCTATAATTTAATATAATAAAATGTCAAAAATAAATATATCTTCCTGTATTTAAGACATCTAATATATAAATATATACTAATACACAGATATACGCACAGAAACATTTTTATTGTGATATTTAATGTTTTTAGAAAAACACCGACAGTGGATCGTTCTACAAAACCTTCCTTACTGACGAGCAACGGATTATCCTTGCGCGACATTATTCTGCCGACCAAATTAATGCACAACTTTCTGACGCTTGTTTTCAGCAATACGACAAGCAATAAAGAAACATGTGGTATTCTGGCTGGGCGATTGGAGCGAAATAAATTGATGGTAACACATCTATTAATACCGGAACAAACTGGAACTCCAGATTCTTGTACTACACATAACGAAGAAGATATCTTCGATTATCAAGATCAGCATAATCTTATCACTCTCGGTTGGATTCATGTACGTAAGATTTATCTTGTGTGTTTATCTATAATTTTACTTTATTGAAAAATTGCTAAAAAATTTATTTATTTTAATTTGTTTATCTTAAACATATATAATTGTGTTACTTATTATATATTGTAGACGCATCCTACGCAAACTGCATTTTTATCAAGCGTAGATCTTCATACGCACTGTGCTTATCAGTTGATGATGGCAGAAGCTATAGCGATAGTTTGTGCGCCGAAATATGATGAGTATGTATGAAAAATATATTTTGGGTATACTTTGTACTATACTAAATCCTTCAAACAGTTTTAATCATTAAATATTCAGTAACTGAATTATGAACCAATATCCTTCTTACAAGGGAAGTTTCACAACTGTTCGGAACCGATTTAATTCTTCATAAAATATGTTATGAAAATATGTTGTGAAAAAAAACGGTATTTCTATTTCGAGCCGAATACCGTCGGAAGTATATTTTGTTAAAAAAATTTTTTTCCATCTTTTTTTTATACTTCCGACGGTATTCGGCTCGAAATAAAAATACCGTTTTTTTTTTATTTTTTTTTTTTTTTTTTTTTTTTTTTTTTCAAAAGGGCGTTTCATCCCTTAAACATGAGTTAGCGCACGTATAAAGAAATACGTGTCTCTTAGATTTTTGTGTTTTACAACATATTTCATGGAGAATCAAATCGGCTTTTTAAACTCTTTAAATGTAAATTTTACGATTACTTGTTTTGTAGTAATTTATTTGCATAGAACTTATTAATTCAATTATGAAGTTTATTTACATATTGCTTCCCTGCAATATCCCTATACAAATATTAGAAGATATAAATACGGATAAAATATAATTGTTTTATATTTGCTATAATTTTGATGATAAATGGAATTTTTTTACAGAACAGGGTTCTTTATCTTAACACCCGATTATGGCTTGGATTTTATCGCAAATTGCAGAGAAACAGGATTTCATCCACATCCTACTGAACCACCACTATATACGGTAAATATATCACAGTTAATCTATTCAATAACATTTTTAACAATGTTAATTAAAGTTTTAATGATTAATAATAATAATAATAAAATGTTGAACTAGTCAATTTTAAAAAAATGTAATATTGATACTATACAATAGTAAAATAAATAGATAAATGTTAATAATGTGGGGGAGAGTGGTCTAAATCGGACCTATTTGCAATTTTTGCTCTCTATAAGGCGTAAATAAAATCCGATCGTAAAATCGAAGGTGCCATTAGAAAGATCATTTAATTTCTTTCATTTTTGCTTCAGACCATTTTGACGTTTCTCATCTGTGTTAAACTATAATGGAAAATGTAAAAACATTTTTTCCGGTCCAATTTGGAACCATCGGTTCAAATCGAAAACTCCTATTTTTATGGATTTTTAGATAGAATTGTAAAATATTTTAATGTATTTTTCTTAGTATTGAGTAAAAACGAGCAATTTGACAGTCAAAGATAAAATTTTTTTCGGAAAAAGAAATTACTGACTGTTTATACACTATTCAACAAAATTAAAGGATCACTTGTTCCATCTTATAAAAATAGGTAAATTTCAAGATAGAATAACTTCGCCAAAAGTCATCTTATCGAGATGTTTAAAAAAGCATTTTAAACCTTGAAACCTCTACTTTTCAGATCAGTACTTAAAATATCAACACAATCGTTTTTTTAAGTACCGATTTGAAAAGTAGATATTTGTAAAGTAGTATTTGATAAGTTATTCACTATACTGTTCGATTTGGAGATGGGTCTTTTCGAACTTTGGAACAAATTTTACAATAAACCGCAAAAGCGATCACAAAATGCTTGATATTTTTTAATTCTACACTCTTTAATTATCTTAAATCAATTACTTTTCAAATTTTTAACACCTTTTAAACAATGATTTACAAGGATTTTCTTTTTAAAAAAAATTTTCGCACGATGACTGAAAATACATATTTGCGTCTATTTTATGAATGTTATGACAGAGAACTGTCAAACTGCTGTCACATGTTCGGTGTCTTATAAGAACTTTACATTATAAATAGTACGCAAATCTGCTTAACCATATTCATTTAAATTAAAAAGGTTCTATTTCGAACACGGTCCGATTTAAACCACTCTCCCCTATATTCTCATTTTGGCTTGTATTGTAAATACTCGTATTGTGTGCCTTTTTTACTAATAATTAATATTAATAATTGTTTTAGAAAGCAAGACACTACAAATTGGATGTAATGGAACTTCAAGTCGTGGATTTACGAAGAAAATGATATATCTCAGATACGAAATAAATATATATTTTACTGAAAAATATTTTTAATTAAATTTCTTTTGGAAAATAGCAATTTATAATAAAAATCGCGAATCTTATTACACAATTAATACATAATTACACAATATTGAAAATCTATGACCAGTGAATAACTAATTTAATCAATGAAAATGCTATGAAACGTATTAATAATTTTAAAAAATGCGTTATATTTAACATAAGGTTTATAATATATGATTGTAGCTGACAGAAGATATACAAAAAGAATCAAATTATCATATCGGAAGTTAGTACGAAATGAAATTATTATAATGAATTAATAATTATTAACTTCCGGACTATAAAACAAAATATTTGCGTATTTGATAATAGCAGTGACCGTAGAAATACAAATGTATTTGTATTTAATATTTTCTTAACTTTAATCAAAAAAGCTTTATTATAAATACATTTACAATTATCAAAAAAGCGAAATTAAATGTACATTTATGTACATAATATAATATTTATTATGTCAATATTTTATCTTGTTACTTATATGTATACTGTAGTATAAAATTTGATATTTTATTTTGTTGTTTTTATAATATAATACATTCTTTTAATTTATGCTTGAAATATATTTCTAAAAAAGATATAGAATACATTTTACAGATCTTTCATGCTTTCATGTTAAATGAAGAAACAAGATTTAATAATAAATATATTATTTTTGTAATGAATCAGAACTTTAACTTCATTTTAAATATTTAACTATTTTGATTTTTCATTATTAAACTTAATTTTGTGTTTAAATATTACGTTTAATGAATTTTTTGTTTATTGTGTAATTTCTTGTTTATAAAACATTGATTTGAACAAATTTCAAGTTAAAAATCTTACTCTTTTGCATACATAAAAGATGTTAGTTAAAGTTCATCGTGCCTTTTTGAAAATAACAAGTGTTCAAAATATTAGATTCTAATATCTTGTGTAAAGAAATATTACAAGATAAACAAAAGACATCACATCAGGCAGAATGCTTTGTATATATTAATCTTACTGAAAAATAATTATAGGTGGGATATATATGAATTAGAATTATTTATTTATTTTGTTTTAATTATATTAATCGTTTATTCATTAAATAATTATGCATAAGAATAAAAAAACCCACTAGATATATTGTGGAAATAAATTTATTTATAAACCTTCCGTTAAAAATGAGGTGTCTTAAAAAATAAATTGGCAGACGTTGTTTTGTAAAATTTATCTACAGAGGGGGATAAAGATTCATCTATTTGACCCTTCCTCATATTTATCTACAACATGATGAGTAAATAGCTATCTTACAGCAATGAAAAATTACCAATGGTAATTAGTCAATGTGTTGGTAATTAGTCTTTCTTCGTGACGATGAGTGGACCCACATTGTCATTGCACTCTTTGTTATGACGCCCGTGAGTACCGTCACAGTATGGCCACTATGTATAAAAAATGATTAAGAATGAGACATATATGTAGAAAATTTTATTATATAACAACACTTTTTAAAAATTATTTTAGAAAATATAAGTAATCGATATTCATAAGAACATCTAACTAAAAAATGATTAGGAATAATTTTTTATTGATTTAATCACTTGTTCATGTCTCCTTGTAAAAAACGAAATGAAATATTAAGATGCATAATTTTTTTTATCTTAGGATTTTGATTCCTATAAAAAAAGAACTTACATTTTCAGACCTCCAACAGCGACAAAATACAGCTTTTTCAGAGATATCTTCGATATCAACGGTGTCCACTACTTTTGGAATATCTTTTTTTACATTGAGATTAACACAACCATGTGGCTATAAAATAATTAACTTGCATTATATTGTATGGAAGTAGATGGAAAAATTAACGAAATTATAAATATATCATTAAAATTATAAAAATATTTAATATATACATTACATACATTATATTTTTCTTAATAATTTCAATATTTTTATAAAACAGAATAAATATAATAATAATAAAGACAATGTTACAAATGAAATATATGTAGTTACTAAAGTTACAATAATATTTTTCGTGTTTTGATAGATGCGAAATTATCAATTATTATATCAAAATCTATATCTTTACATATTTCATTTTCAATTGAAAGAATTTCTATATTTGATAATTTTTCTTAACTTGATGATGACCTTAAGTAATTTTTTATTAACTTCAATTTGCGCCTCCTTCAAATTGTTTACATGAGGCACATGCCTCGCTC